AAAAAATTGTTTTAATTTTATTCTTGATTGAAATTTAACAAACAAATTATTTTCATTACTACAAAATTAAACAACAAAAACATATAACACCACGATTGACATTTAACAAACTAATTATTTTCATTACTACAAAATTAATCAGCACAAAAATTGAACACCTCATGCTCGCACACACATTTTACTATTATATGAATAAAAATAAGGGAAAAATTTTTTTCTCCTCCCAAAATATGCGATTTTTTTTACTTTGCCATATAAACTATTTCTGCTGACACTTTGCCTTCCAAAGTAATCGAAATTGACATTTTGCCTCCTTGATTAAAAATCCTAAAATGGCACAAAAGTGTTTAACTCAATTAATGATAAAATTTAAATTAATCTTTAAAATTGATTTAGGGCTTTTAAAGTTCATGGCGAGACGAACAAAATGAGGTATGATTTGTCGAATTCTGAAAATTGATACCTCTATAATCGATCCACGAAGATAGTAGGAGCACGTGTGTATAGAAAAAAAAAATTAATTCAAGATTTTTTATAATCAAGATATCCGTTTTTTGATTGGGATGTGTCATTTGAAAGCTTGGAGGACGAGTTTTCTATCGAAGTAAATCTCATGAAAATCCAACGGTCGGATTTTGGTTAGTAGCAAAAAAAAAAAGCTAACTATCGATCAATATTTTTCTAAATACTGAAAAAAATTTGACCGTTGGATTTTCATGAGATTTAATTCGATAGAAACTCGTCCTCCAAGCTTTCAGATGACACCTCCCAATCGAAAATCGGATATCTTGATTATTAAAAATCTTGAATTGAATTTTTTTCTATACACACATGCTCCTACTATCTTCGTGGATCGATTATAGAGGTATCAATTTTTAGAATTCGACAAATCATAACTCATTTTGTTCGTCTTGCCATGAACTTTAAAAGCCCTAAATCAATTTTAAAGATTAATTTAAATTTTATCATTAATTGAGTTAAAACATTTTTGTGTCAAGGAGGCAAAATGTCAATTTCGATTATTTTGGGAGGCAATGTGTTAACAAAAAAGTTTATTTGGCAAAGTCAAAAAAATCGCATTCTTTGGAAGGTTAAAAAAAAAATTTCCCTAAATAATGAGTTGAATCTTCCTATGCATTTGACTTGAAGTGCAGTCAAAAAAAACAGCAACAAACATTTTTATAAATTTGGAACCTTCTTCACATAAAATACGTAAGTTGACTCAAATGTTGTATTTTTCAATCAATTGATTCTTGAGTTGGCAATTACTACAATTAAAAAAATCCCAACATTTTTAACTCAACTATTTTTTTAACTCAATTTTAATTCAACCCCACTATCATCAATATTATAAATATAATTAAATAATATCAATCAATCATTCTCACTCACACACCACATCACCTTAATTCATTATTCATCTGCTCATATAATTTTAAATAACCATCATTCCATCACTTTAAATCTTCTCTCTCCTACTTTATATCAAATCAACTTTAATCATTTTATTTTAAATATTATTTTAATATACCCACTAACAACTAATCCTACCAAATTTTTCAAAACTAACCAAAATAAACAAAAAAATCCAAACAAAACCAATTTTTTTTATATCCAATCATCCTTTTTAACTCTTCGGTCATTTCATCACAAGTACAAGTTGAAGTCATGGTTGCTTTCACAAAGAATAGAAGAAATACGATTAAAATAAATAAATACTATATTGGTCTGTAGACTGCAGTAATTTAAATTTGGAGAGCACAAATTTTCACATGTGAATTCGTCCAACACCATAGCTATAGGCACCATTATTTTATTTATGTACAACAAGTTTACCCTCTCATCCTAATATACAAACATGATATATACATACAGGCTATAGCTACAGCTACAGCTACACCTATCCATGATAAACATTCATCACCACCAAAACCGCAGCCGCGCGATTCCTTTACCTCTGTCGTCTGCAACATTAAATTGGCAGATGTAAAAATGGCAGATCGTGTAGAAACTGGAATAAGAAGAGCAAAATGGTGTGTTAACTTATGCAGCTTGCTCCTTTACCAAATTGCATCTTATCTAGACAGGGCAAATTGCCCAACGAATAGTCGTGATACCTTTAATATAATATGCCTAATGTATTCTTTCTGCATATTTGCACACATATCTAAACATGGTCGCTAATCCTATAGATACTTACTGTTCTACTTGCTTGTTAAGTCATGTAGTCGTCACTCGTGACACCCACGATACAATCTTTATCTTCTTAAATCACGTCGAGTGATAACATTATCATTAACTACATTTACAAATTCCGCTACCGGTGCCAAATGTCGCATATTACTTGCTATATCCACTAAACATAAAATTGTTAGGTCTATTATGCATAAGGAAAGAACAGCCAGAAAATCTTATGCCAGCATTTGATAGAAGGGTGACCAATGACAAAAACAAACATTTAAAATGTGATAATCGAAACAAAAGGTTGATTATGTTTCGTAAAAAGTGTAGAGCCACAAAGATATTGTAATTGTACTCATCATGTTGTGATAAATATATCTCGGAGAACGTCCACAATGAAGAGCATGCTGCCCCAAAAATGAAGTCTTAAATTGCAGTTCTTGATGTGAGCGTGAACTCACGATATATGATGCAGTAGGATCCTCGATGCAAACCACTCACTCAGGAATCTATGCTGAGTCTATGTAAATAAATAACACTCGCAGATGTTTACTAGAATCATACAAGTATCATGTGCATGCTTGCTAGATTGGGTACAGAAACACCAACATCATTCGAACTCATCAAAAATCAAAATGAAAATCAGATACACAAGAAAATGAATCAATATAACTACTCACAGCACACGGAGGGCCAGAAAAACTCATCAAGGAGCACAGATAGCCAATTTCCCCATGCTCTCGTCTAACACCCCATAATCAAGGCTAAGCTCCCTCATCGGCGGGATATTCTCCAGAGCAAAAAGCATTAAATGAGGAAAAGACATATTGTTGTGGTCATACAACATGAGCTGAACAAAAACATTGGGCATCGTGCTATGGCTAATGTAGCATGCTACATTCCTCATCCTCGAGACATCCAGGGCAAAGTCCAGAGGAGGCGCCGAGGGATAAGTCGGGCAAACATAGTCCACGAAAATCTGAGACATATCACCCCACTCCCTCCACCTCTCGGCAAAACGGGCCGGGTAGATGAGATTATCTCCGTTCATCGTGAGTACTTTTGCCTGCTCGCGAGTGAGCACAACCCCTGCATACTCGCAAATGAAGGTGCCCGCGAGGATCAAGTCCAATGACCTCAGCCCCCATCCTGTCTCCCTCGACCTGAACACCTCAAACCTGTGCTGCGGCCCCTTCTGGGCCACGCGGTTTCTGCAAGTGGGCGGACAGCAGCAGTGGGGCCCGCACTCGAACACCAATGGCTTCCCCCTCACCAGAATTCCCGCAAGGTTGTATGCAAAATCGCCCCCGTTTCTGACAGCGCAAAGGCAGCCGGCCGTGCACGAGCCGAAGCAGCTGCATCCCCAGGTGCTCCCGGGACCGTACACATGAGGAGGGAAGCAGGTCCTGGTGATGTACTCATAGTGGAGGGGTTCTTGATCTGTGTCGAGGTCGTTGAAAAGGAAGACAGGGTAATTCTCCTTGTTTCTGGAGAGGTCGAGAGTGAGGTAGCCCCTGGGACGCAATTCCAGCGGTCGAGCCCTCAACCTCTGCGCGAATTTCATGACAGTGCTACCCATTTCTGGCTGATTTGCGATCCGCAAGAGCCTGAATTTGAAGACCCCAAACCCCGATTTCCCCACATCGAACCATGTTTGGATTATCCTATACAAACCATCGTAAACGTAGACTTTGCCACTGATGCTCCCTTCGTATTTGAAGCCACGGATAACTCGCACCTCGATACCATAGCGCATACTCCTCTCGAGAGCTAAATTGCCGCACTCCAATCTCTGGTGCACAACCTGCCTGTTGTTCTTGTCTTGGCCACCATGGCCTGTGTAGACAATCACCTCCCCTGCATCCTCATCGTCCTCATAACCTCCAGAGACTATGATGCTAGTGGCAATTGGCTCTCCGTTCTGGCTCTGGCTAGCGGGAACATAATCAATCCCGGCCTGGGGATGCCCATGCAAACCCACCACGCAAAGCTCCATCCTGAAGAAGAAAACGTCCCCAATTAAAACGCCGGGGAGGTGACCCACGATGCGCTTATTCCGAAACTGCCACAACTCCCGCTTCCTCATACAAGCAGACGCCCTTAGGTCACCTCGGGTTCTCCTGTGCGGGCGCATCGGCTCCATCCGACGCTCGTCCTCTGCGATTGCGAACACGCGCAGCGAGTCGAACAGCATCCGGATCTTGCGGATAATTTCCCGGAAGTAGCGATCTTCGTGGGGCTGCAGACCCTCGATCCGGACCAGCTCCGCCGAGCGGGTCGGGTATTTTCGGGGAGGGGGGGCGGGGTTAGATACCTGGGTCTCCGGGTTGGGGACGGGGATGATGGCCCGAGAATCCGGGTCGCCTTCGGGTGCAGGTGCGGGTGCGGGTGCGGGTGGGGCGGCGGCGGAGGTGGAGGCTTGCTCCCCTAATCTCCGGTCCACGGTGGAGCGGAAGAGCTCAGAGATACGATGGAAGTCGGAGGAGAAGTCGGGTCTGGAGGGAGAGAATCCGGGAGGGGCGGCGGATGGAGAGTCGTCGGAGAAGTATAGGGCCGGATGCGGAGGCGCCGGCGCCGGCGCCGGCGTCGTCGGTTCGTCTAGCGGTTCGAGCTTGGGTACGATTTTGGGAGCGATGGCGGCGGGTCTGTTGAGGTCCGGAAACGGTACAGCGGAATTGGAATCCATTCTCAGATATTGTTTTGAATTCAAGGGATTGATTGAAGATCTAAAAAGGGTTTTTTGGGAGAGAGGCAGAGCGGTGTGTTTGTTGGGAGGATTGAGGAAGAAGAAGGTCCCGGTGGAGTAGCAGTATGTTAGATATCACCGAGTGAGTAGCTTAAAAATGTTTGTCAAATATTTATGTAATCCAAAAACAATATGCACAAAGACAATAATAAAGCTCGACAGATATGTCAGTAAATGTGAGTGACTTTCAGAAATAAAAAAAGATTACGGAGAAGAAATATGAAATTGGTAAATTATATTATGCTAACCAATTCCTAATCTCTTTTTAGGACCATATAATCCGGTTATTATTGAATAATAAAAATTATATTTATAAAAAATTAAAATAGAAGTTATAGTTTTATAGTCTTAAATAATTCCTATAAATTATATTAGTATTTTTATCTTGATTTATTATATGTATCATTTGTTAGAATAAATATATGTATTATTTATTATTAGACTTGATACATGAATTCAGCATTTTTCAGTAAGAATGGATATACAATTTAATTTTTATTCATAATGTTAAATGTATTTATATCTATATATAAAAAGGTTTGATTATTTTTTAAATATTAATTGTTTCCCTTCAAAAATAATCTATTTACTATTTCAGAAATTAATTTAACAATTTATGGTATATTTAAATTATCATTTATGAAAATTGTTGCTCATTAGGTAAGGAAATAATTAAGTCATATTTTAAGATACTAGATTACTCAAATTATGTGAATATATTAATATATGGTATAAAGTGTCTAATGAAGTAATTAAGCTATATTTTAAGATAAGTTGATTACTCAAATCATGTGAATTAATTACTAGTGCGTATCCCGTACGATGCACAGGTAATAATATTAAATAATAATTATAAATAAGTATCCAGTTCGAGTCACCCAATGAAATAAGTGGGCAACCACTGTTGATCCTCTCTTAAAAGAGCAAAAAATATATTATAAATTAAAGATGAGGGTAAACGATATTAAATAATAATTATAAATTAACGATGTGAGGTTAACATGTCATATAATTTACGGTATATCAGTTTGTTATAAACTATATAAAATTAGCTTGTTCAAGGGAACATAAAATTTGTATATTTAAACAATTAAAAACTCCTAAAATATTGTATTAACATATGTAAAATTATCTAAAATTTTATATATTATTATAAAAAGATGTGAAGTCACCTACAACTTTTCTAAACTATTTTGTAAAAAAAATATATCTAAAAATATTAAAATTTACATTTGTATGAAAGATGTTTTCTGAATATGACATGATAAAATATTATAAGCCTAAATAAATAAATTATAAAGTTTTTGAAAGAAAATTTACCTATTATATATAAAATAACGATACTACCGTAAAATTTGAGTATAGAAGATTTCAAAAGTATTATTATTATTCTTTTGAGTAATTTGAGTACAAAAATTTTCAAAATTATTATTATTATTCTTTTAAGTAATTTGAGCACAAAAGTTTCAAAAATATTATTATTTTTTAGTTACTGTGAAAAGAAATTTTGTAGACATAAAATTCCACGTTCTATGTAGATTTATTGAACGGAGACTAAGACAATTTCTAATTTTAAAACAATGCATTTCTAATTTGACTTAATTATTGTAAAATTTTAAAACTTATGGAAAAGAAATTAAAGAAATAAATTTCAATTGATTTGAAATTCTTAAACCACTTTGAATTTCGTGCAGATTGAAACCAAAAAACTGGAAATTTATTATGATTTTTATAATTTCCAATAGGTTTGTTAATTTTAAAGCGGCACAAAATCTTTCATTTAAGGATATGGATAGAAGCATGTGATTATATATTTTTGAAATTCAATTTGAACAAAATTATTTATATTAGGAATAGATTTTGAATTAAACCTAATTTTATGGCAACTAAAATGAGAAGGGATTTTGGATTTCAAATTTTCAATTCAAGTTCTAAGAAAAAATTTTCGACAATCAGATTGTTTGGAATAAAAAACACAATCGAATTTTTTAAAATCGAATTTATAGGTAAGTTTTATTTTTCTCGTCTATTTAAAAATATATGTGAATAATAAGTATATAAATCATATAATGTTTCATTAATTAGATGATTTTGTTTTTATATGAAATATTCGAATCAAAAAATTGAAGGGGTTGAGTAATTTACTAAACTATGAATAATTGACTATTTCATTTACGTCGTCAAAGTTAATTTGACTCGTAAGTTATGAATAATTACTTAATTGACTTATGAATTTGGAACTCAAATTTAGACTACACACTAAATTTCCTTATATATTTGATGTATGAATATATTATATATATAATCTCGTAGTTTTCTAAAGTTGTTGTCGGTTACTTTATCGTTCAAATTTATCTACTAATTTTCTAGAATTAAATTACAAATTTTTAATATTATTGACCAATATTTTTTCAAATCTTATGATAGCATATCAATAAAAATAAAAATAAATTAACTACAAACAAAATAATAGATTGAATTTTTCTTAAAATTTTAATCAATAGATTTAGATCAATTATTGGTTTCACATTAACTTTAATAAAAAATTACGTATGCGTATAAATTATTCACACTAAATATTTACTAATAACTACCAAACTATTGTTATTGATTTTTTTGGAAATCTAATAGCTCATCTCGTTTTTTATATATATATATATACCAAAAGTACCTGAAAGAAGATTTTTTCCACACAAGGGCATTTAGTTAAAACTTCTTTAATTATGGTACTTTTAGTATGTAATTAATGATCTTGTTTCTAAATTTATAAAAAAGGTTATTCTTTTTATAAAATAATAGATTACTCATGTAAAAAAAATAAAAAAAAAATAAGACAAATAACACAATGCTATAATTTTGGAAACATGTGTGAAATTTGTGAAGCTATAATTACGTTTTTTTTTTTGTTTTCCAAATCCCTAATTTTAGGCTACATTTAATGCTTGCCAATTTGTTATTTAAAAAAATTCAAAATACTTCCAAAAAATGGCATGCAATTAATGTTGTTAGATTTTCTACTTACTATTTTTAAAAAATGGTAATTCTTTTTATATATATATATATATATAGATAGATGTGAATTAATTAGTATATGGTATAAAGTAGACGAATTTATTTTTGGTATTGAGGTTGTTTTAAGGGAAATAAATTAGTTAATGAACAAATTTG